CGCCCCGCTACACTGAGCAGCCGGTCTCCCTTACAGAGCGTCGTGAGCCTACGTCTCGTCCTGCCTCGCCTGTTCGCGCTGTTCGCACCGCTCGTCGTGTCCCGCGTCCGCGTCCTCCTCCTGTGCCAGGTACTCACGTTATGGCACTTCGTCCCTCCTCTGCTCCGCAGCGCGTCCCTTTGCCGTCTCCTCCTGCGTCCTCTCTTCCCGAGCTTCCTGACCCTGAGTCTGACGCTGTTCGTGCTGCTAGCCTCACAGTCACGCGTCTTCTGGCTACTGTTGTCACTGACCCGTCGTTTGAGTCCACTGCTGCGTCTGCCTTAGTTGCTGAGCTTGTCGACTTTGCTGCTGCGTGTCGTCTAGACTACGCCGCCAGTCTTGTTGCTGAGTCTGAGTCTGTCTGTCCTCCGTCCGTCGGGGGTGAGTGTGCTCTTGGCACGAACGTCCTTGAGGACAGGCAGGAGGACTTTGACTGTCTTGCGGCTGCTGTACCTCATCTCGTGGCTTGGCTGCTTGCCCCTGAGGGAGACCCGGATGCACTGGACATCCCGACCCCGCGCTCTTACACTGAGGCGATCACAAGTCCCTACTCCTCTCAGTGGCAGACAGCCATGGACGCAGAGATGGCATCCTAGAAGTCCACAGGCACTTACGTCGACGAGGTTCCCCCTCCTGGGCCGCCGGGTTCTCCGCCTGTCTTCAAGGCTCGTTATGTTGCACGAGGCTTCAGTCAGCGGCAGGGAGTTGACTTCTTCCAGACCTTCTCCCCTACCCCGAAGATGACCACTCTTCGGGTACTGCTGCACGTTGCCGCTCAGTGTGACTACGAGCTTCACTCTCTTGACTTCAGCACAGCGTTCTTGCAGGGCAGCCTGCACGAGGAGATCTGGCTGCGCCGCTCACCTGGCTTCACTGGGTCGTTCCCTCCCGGTACCCAGTGGAGCCTCCGGCGGCCAGTCTACGGTCTCCGCTAGGCGCCTCGTGAGTGGCACGACACATTGAGGACGACACTTGCGGCTCTTGGGTTTGCTCCTTCGATTGCTGACCCGTCGCTGTTTCTGCGCACCGACACTTCGCTGCCGCCGTTCTACATCCTCGTGTACGTTGACGACTTGGTCTTTGCCACTGCTGACATTGAGGCACTCGCCCTTGTGAAGTCGGAGCTGCAGAAGAGATACACGTGCACAGACCTGGGTGAGCTGCGCAGCTACCTTGGCTTGCAGATCACCCGGGACAGAGCACGCCGCACCATTACCCTGACTCAGTCACACATGGTGCAGCAGGTCCTTCAGCGCTTCGGCTTCCAGTTCTCCTCACCACAGTCCACTCCTCTATCGGTCACTCGCTCTCAGCTCCACCTTCGGACGAGTCCGTAGAGTCGAGTGGCCCGTACCTAGAGCTTGTGGGCTGCCTCATGTACCTGATGACCTGCACTCGACCTGACCTTGCGTACCCTCTTAGCATCCTTGCTCGTTACGTTGCGCCTGGGAGACACCGGCGGGTGCACTGGGAGGCTGCTAAGAGGGTGCTGCGCTACTTGTGCAGTACATCAGGCATGGGGCTGGTGCTTGGAGGACGGGGTGACGTTGTCCTCACTGGACACTCAGACGCCTCTTGGGTTGACGACCTGGCTACACAGCGGTCGTCATAGGGTTACACCTTCAGTCTTGGTTCCGGCTCTGTCTCTTGGCGGTCCACTCGCTCTTCTTCTGTTCTCAGCTCCAGTTGTGAGGCTGAGATCTACGCCACAGCCATGGCTGCACAGGAGCTTCGCTGGCTCACCTACCTGCTGACTGACTTGGGAGAGTGGCCTCGTTCTCCTCCAGTTCTGTACGGCGACAACAAGGCGGCCCTCGCCTTGTGTCAGGAGCACAGACTGGAGCACAGAACGAAGCACATCGCTCTGCGTTACTTCCTTGCTCGAGAGCTAGAACAGCGTGGCCAGCTTCGTCTTGTTTACGTGGACACGCGGGCCAACACTGCTGATATATTCACCAAGGCAGTTCCGCCTTGTGACCATCAGCACTTTTGCACAGCGTTAGGCCTGGTGCCTGTGTTTGCTCACTTGACTTTGTTCGTACTGTGATCAGGCACCAGGTGCCTGTGTTTGCTCTCTTGACTTTGTTCGTACTGTGATCTATATTATATACCTGCATGCCTACTCCTGCTAGGTAGTGATCACTGTACTGTTGTTGTTGCATATATACCCCTACATGCGAACTGGCCTTGTGGCCCTTTGTTTGTGCTCAGTGTGTGTGGTGACGTTGTGATCCACCCTGAGCTTGCTTGCCTTTCTTGACTGGTCTTGTGACCCCTTGTTCTCCCCCACTTTGCCTATGGGGGTGTGTCAAACTATATATGTGTTAGTTCTGTGTAGGCTATAGTGGGGTAGCCCATATGGGGTACAACCCAAAGTTAGGGTTAGTACTTGTACCCACAATCCCTTCAATGCAATCATTCTTGCTCGTTGATTTTGATAGATTCCGCATGACAGCAATCAAGGGTGAATACACTAGCACACGCACCAACAAATGCACCTACACAAAGTGTCGTCATCTCATTCGGAACGCCATCGCAAGATGATAGCATGGGGCAGCGCTCTGGCGCAATCAGTGATGGCGCCGCCCAATCCATGCCAGGGATGGAACGGACGAGGGAGGCACCAAGCGACAACAATCCTCGCGAAGCCTGTCATCACGTCAGCATTGCGGCACCCGTCGTGAACAGCGACATTGGTGAGCCGATGCCACTCAAGCCGCAGCGTCCGCCCTGTTTCAATCCTAGTCAGCGTGGAGGACCGATGGTTCGGTCGTGGATTTGCACGATGAACGTGTTTTTTTATGCAAATTACGTCACGTCGGATGCAACGAAGATCCAGTACGTCGTTTCATTGTTGTGTGAACCTGCTACGGCCGCGCTTTGAATTCAACATGCCAGAGGCTGCATACTTGGCGACAGCTTGGGTCAGTTCAAGACTACACCAGCGATTTTGTGGCACTGTGCGAACAGGTCGGCTACATGCACGAAGCGGAGCGAGTGGATCGCTGCGTCGTCGGCATGAAGCCGGAAATGGCGCAGGAAATTCTCTTACGTGGCATTTCAAACTTCAACCAAAAATTGGCGCTCGCCGAGAAAATCTATATTCTGCGACGACCGAGGCCGGGATCCTATCACTACGGACAACGCACTCGGGGAACGACCGAGCACACCACGGTTCATGCCGTTGCGACGAACGCAGCTCCCATGCCATTTAAGGGGCGCTGTTTCGCGTGCAACAGGCCGGGCCATCGCAAGAGCGAATGCCCAGAGGAGCTAAGGCTTACGTTGAGGAGCAGAGCGGGGGAGGGATTCTAGAAGGCAAGGAAATGCCGGCAGTCAGTAGAGTTTCGGCCCAACACTGACGAGACTCATTGCCCGCCTGACCCCACTGAACCTCACCGAGTGACGGTACCAATTCATGCAATCAATCGGGCTCGGATGAATAAGGAGGGTACAGCGACAGATTTCCCAGTACTGATTAACGGGAAAATACCGAGGACAGCGGTGAAAATTTTTATTCAAGGAGGAGCTATATACCGCAATTGCGAGGAAGCTGCAACTGACACTTTGTCGATGTTTTCCGGAGATCGACACACGTTTAGTTGATAGCACGCCGTTGTCAATGCAGGAAAAAAAGTAGAACGAGTGAAGGCTCGCTGCGGGGGGGAACTTCGGGTTTATACAGGAAATCCTCGTGACAATATTGGATGGGGCCGCCACTTTACTGGGACGTGATTGGCTGCGATGGTACTGCGGAGATTCACTCTACAACGGTCGGGAGCTAGACTAGGGGAAAGGCACGAGTTGTGTGTGTCAAACATTATATATGTTGTTGTTGTTTAGGCTACAGTGGGTTAGCCTTTAGGGGGTACACAAATTCTAGGGTTGCATATTTGTACTCACATTCTTGCTAGTCATTCTCATTCCTGCCAGTTAGTTTCAACATGGTTTCAGAGCAGGTCCTTCGCTAGGACCGTTTTTTTAGGGCCCACCTACCTACCTACCTACCTACCTACCTACCTACCTGCGCCCTAGAGCGCTTCGTACTTCACGGCCCCCTAAGGCCCCGCGACCCGCGACCCGCACCTTAGCGACCCGCGCGCCGCCCCTTAGCGACCCCGTCGGCCCCGCGTTCGCCCCCTATCGGCCCCTCTACGGCCCCGCGTTCGCCCCTAGAGGCCCCTTACGGCCCCGTCGCAGCCCCTTAGAGGCCCCGTCGGCCCCGCGCGCCGCCCCTAGAGGCCCCGTCGACCCCGTCGCAGCCCCTTAGAGGCCCCGTCGGCCCCGCGCGCCGCCCGCTAGGGGCCCCGTCGACCCCGTGTACCGCCTCTTAGAGGCCCCGCTGGCCCCGTCGACCCCACCCACCGCCCCTACCTGTCCCACACGCGACCGCGACGACCCCGCCCGCAACGAGCCGCGCCGCCCTAACCGAGCCGCGCCGCCCTACCTGCGCCGAGCCGCCCTCCCTGCGTCGCGCTGCCTACCACTGTTAGCGTGCGCCTACTGCTACTGCTGCTACTGCTACTATGGCTAGTCCTCCCGTGCTAGCTTTCGATACTGAGGGACGTCCAGTGAAATTTGACACCTGGCTAGATGACCTGCACCTTTTCCTACAGCTCACTGCCAAGGAAGACATCTCACTGTACGATCACGCCCTAGGCCATGCCCCTGCGCCTGCTGCTACTGCCGACAGCTCTACCCGCTCACAGTGGCAGACTCGTGACGCCCACGCTCGCTTTGCTATTCGCAACTCCCTGCCGCTAGAAGAGCGCGAGCACTTTGGCCAGCACAAGACTGCACAGGACCTGTACAAAGCTGTCGTTGCCCGCTACTCCTCACCTGCCTCTGCCGCTCTAGGCCGTCTCTCGCTTCCCTACCTGTTCCCCGACCTGTCCTCTTTCCACACAGTCGCTGACCTCATCACCCACCTCCGTACTAGTGAGGCCCGCTTCCGTGCTGCCATGCCCGCCGAGTTCCTTGCCAAGAACCCTCCCCCGCTCTGGCTCACTCTCTACCACCTAGTCACCCGCCTCCCTGACTCTCTGCGTGCAGTCAGGGATTCCTTCCTAGCTCGCTGCCCTACTGAGCTCACCATTGCCCTCCTCGAGAAGGAACTACTTGCAGCTGAGGCTAGCATAGTCGCTGTAGGTGCCTCTCGTGGCGACCCCCGCACCCCGTTCTTTGAGGGGTGTTCTCCTTCCCCCCTTCTTCCCTCTGTCGCCTCTGCTGCTGCTGTCGACCTCCTTGGTGCTGAGAAGGTCGGGACTGCGTCTGCTTCGAGCGGACGCCGCAGCGGCAAGGGCAAAGGGGGCAAGGGAGGCGGAGGTCACAGTGGGGGAGGAGGTGGTGGGGGCGGTGGCGGCGGTGGGGGTGGTGGCGGGGATGGAGGGGTGAGTGGTGGCGGTGAGGGGGGTGGCGGCAGCGGCGGGGGAGGTGGCAGAGGCGGGGGCGGTGGTGGGGGTGGCGGTGGACGTGGAGGCGGCACGGGTTGGGGTGGTCGAGGAGGTGGGAGCGGAGGTGGTGGTCGTGGAGGCGCTGGCGGTGGCCAGAGCCAGCAGCACACTCCGTCGCCCCAGGAGGTCCGTGAGTGGTACTCTCAGCACGGGGGGGGGGGGGTGGGCTTAGCTGCACGTACGTCATCCGCACTGGTGACCGCGCTGGTCAGACGTGTGGGAGGGCCCACACCGCGCAGCGCTGCTTCTCTCGTCTCGACGACGCTTGGCGTGTTCAGTTCCCTCAGGCCTCTGAGCTGCCCCGCTGGATTGATCTCCTGAAGAAGGGGATTGATATCTATGCTCTAGACTTTGATGCTATTCTCACTGCCATGTATGTGATGTCTACTAGTGGAGAGGGTGCCGAGTACCTGTGTGTTCCGCCCGACCCGGGCATTAGGACCAGTGAGTCTGCCGCTTCAGGTCCGCGCGTGTCTGCTACCTCAGGTGCTGGTGCGGCTGCTGCTCTAGGTGCTTGTGCGTCTGCGCCCACTGGTACTGAGTCGACTGCAGCACTGCACACCTTCACACTGGACTCAGGTGCTTCTCGCTGCTTCTTTCGTGACCGCACTGCCCTTGAGCCACTTGCTCGGCCAGTTGCTGTCTCCCTCGCTGACCCCTCCGGGGGACCGGTCGTGGCGACCTCCTCCACTGTCCTTCCCTGTCCTGCGGTCCCGTCGGGCACACTGTCCGGTCTCCACCTCCCCTCGTTCTCTACGAACCTGGTGGCTGGGTGTGCGCTCCAGGACGCGGGTGTTCACCAGTTCACCCCGGCCTACGAGCGCGTGACGCACTGCACGTGTGCCCGTACGGGCCGCCACTTGGCTACCTTCACTAGGCAGCCGGGGTCGGACCTGTACACACTGACCACTGAGTCCCCTCAGGTCGCTGCGTCTGCGTCTGCGTCTGCGTCAGGTCAGCTGTCGGCCCCCTGCTCGTGTCGCTCTCTGGCGCACGAGACTGTCCTCTGGCACCACCGACTTGGCCACCCGTCTGTGCAGCGCCTTCGGGCCATGCACTCCAGGTACCTTGTCTCTGGTCTTCCCAGGGTCCTCCCTCCTCTCCCTCCCTCGCCTGCTCCTCCCTGTCTTCCCTGTGTCGAGGGGCGGCAGCGCGCCGCTCCTCACTCCTCCTCCTTTCCCCCGACGACTGCTCCCTTGCAGACGCTCCACATGGACGTGTGGGGCCCAGCCCGCGTCCGTGGTCAGGGTCAGGAGAGGTACTTCCTGATAGTTGTTGACGACTACTCGCGCTACACCACGGTCTTCCCCTTGCGCACCAAGGGTGAGGTCCCTGATGTTTTGATCCCTTGGATCCGCAGAGCTCGTCTCCAGCTCAGCGAGCGTTTCCACTCGGACTTTCCTGTCCTGCGCTTGCACTCTGACAGAGGTGGTGAGTTCTCCTCCGACCTCTTGGCAGCCTACTGTGCTGAGCACGGCATTGAGCAGTCGTTCACGCTTCCGGCCTCTCCACAGCAGAATGGGGTTGCGGAGCGTCGCATTGGCCTAGTCATGGAGGTCGCCCGTACCTCCTTGATCCATGCGGCTGCCCCCCACTTTCTGTGGCCGTTTGCGGTCCGGTATGCTGCGCATCAGCTCAACCTCTGGCCCCGTGTCTCCATGCCGGAGACCTCGCCCACGCTGCGGTGGACGGGGGAGGTTGGCGATGCGTCGCGTTTCCGGGTCTGGGGATCTCGAGCTTTTGTCCGCGACGCTTCCGCGGACAAGCTCTCCACCCGCGCTGTTCCCTGTGTCTTCCTTGGCTTTGTCCCTGACGCGTCTGGTTGGCAGTTTTACCACGCCACCTCGCGCCGGGTCCTTGCCTCTCAGGACGTCACTTTTGACGAGTCCGTCCCCTACTACTGCCTCTTCCCCTACCGCACTGCCCCACTCCCCCCCCCGCCTCTCTTCCTCGCACCAGGTGCTGCTGTGGTAGACCCCCTCCCCCCTCAGGGTGCCGCTCCCTCAGGTGTGTCCCAGGTAGACCCGGTTGACCCTGTTGAGGTAGCTGTTGACTCTCGTCCTGCTGGGGGTGCGGAGCCTGGGGGTGCTGAGCCTGGGGGTGCGGAGCCTGCGGTTGCGGAGCCTGGGGGTGCTGAGCCTGGACGTACTGAGCCTGGGGGTGCTGTGCCTGGGGGTGCTGAGCTGCAGAGTTCTGGGTCTGGGAGTGCTGAGTCTGGGGGTGCTGAGCCTGGCAGCCCTGCGCCTGGGGGAGCTCTCTCCTCGGAGCGGCTGCGTGAGTGGTACTCAGAGTACTGCAGCCTCCGGAGAGGTGCCTCTGGGACCAGGAGTGCTGCTGCGACTGGTGCTGGTGCCTCCCCTCCTCAGCGGGAGCTGCCCTCTCTTGAGCGGATCCGCGAGTGGTACGAGCGGCGCTGCACTCTCCGGAGTGGAGCGCCTGGTGTCGCGGACCCTGGTGCTGGAGGTGCTGCTGCTGGTACTGCGGACCCTGGAGCTGGAGCTGCTGCTGGTGCTGCGGACCCTGGAGCTGGAGCTGCTGCTGGTGCTGCGGACCCTGGGGCTGGAGCTGCTACTGGCGCTGCGGACCCGGGAGCTGGAGCTGCTGCTGGTGCTGCGGACCCTGGAGCTGGAGCTGCTGCTGGTGCTGCGGACCCTGGAGCTGGTGCTGCTGGAGCTGCCGCGGGTGCTGGTGCCGTCTCTCCTGGTTCTGGAGTCACTGAGCGGCCCCGACCGTACTTCGTTCCGCTTCTCCAGCAGGTTCTTGGTCAGCCTCCTCCTCCTTGTCCTGCTCCCTCCTTAGAGTGTCCTCCGCCTGTCCCGTCGCAGTCGCAGTTACCGCCTCCCTCGCCGCTCCCCGGTCCTTCTCCTTACACTGGTCCCACAGGAGGTCTTACGGAGCGTCGTGAGCCTGAGTCTCGTCCTGTGTCGCCTGCGTCTCGCTCTGCGTCGCCTGTCCGTGCTGCTCGCACTGGTCGTCGTGTACCGGGTGAGCGTCCTCCTCCTGTCCCTGGCACTCACTACATGACTCTGCGTCCCTCCACTGCTCCTCAGCGTGTCCTTCTGCCGTCTCCTCCTGCGTCCTCTCTTCCTGAGCTTCCTGACCCGGAGTCTGACTCCCTTCGTGCTGCCCGTCCTACTGTCACGCGTCTCCTTGCTACTGTTGTCACTGACCCTACCTTTGAGTCCTCTGCTGCGTCTGCCCTGGTCGCTGAGTTAGTTGACTTTGCTGCCGCTTGTCGTCTCGACTACGCCGCTAGCCTAGTTGCTGAGTCTGAGTCTGTCTGTCCTCCGTCCGTCGGGGGTGAGTGTGCTCTTGGCACGAACGTCCTTGAGGACAGGCAGGAGGAGTTCCAGTGCTTTGCTGCTGCTTTACCTCATCTCGTGTCCATTGTAGTTGCCCCTGAGGGAGACCCGGATGCACCAGACATCCCGACCCCGCGCTCTTACGCAGAGGCGATAGCGGGTCCCTACTCCTCTCAGTGGCAGACAGCCATGGACGCAGAGATGGCTTCCTGGAAGTCCACACGCACCTACGTCGACGCTGTTCCCCCACCAGGGGCGAACATCGTCAGTGGCATGTGGATTTTCAGGGTGAAGCGGCCGCCGGGTTCTCCGCCTGTCTTCAAGGCGCGTTACGTTGCTCGAGGCTTCAGCCAGCGTGAGGGAGTCGACTTCTTCCAGACCTTCTCCCCCACCCCGAAAATGACCACTCTTCGGGTGCTGCTGCACATAGCTGCTCAGCGTGACTACGAGCTTCACTCTCTTGACTTCAGCACTGCTTTCTTGCAGGGTAGTCTGCACGAGGAGATCTGGCTGCGCCGCCCTCCTGGCTTCACTGGGTCGTTTCCTCCTGGTACCCAGTGGAGCCTCCGCCGGCCGGTCTACGGTCTCCGCCAGGCACCACGTGAGTGGCACGACACACTGAGGACGACACTTGCGGCACTTGGGTTCGCGCCTTCTACTGCTGACCCGTCGCTGTTTCTGCGCACAGACACTTCGTTGCCGCCGTTCTACATTCTCGTGTACGTCGACGACTTGGTCTTTGCCACTGCTGACACTCAGGCTCTCGCCCACGTGAAGTCGGAGCTGCAGAAGAGACACACGTGCACAGACCTGGGTGAACTGACAAGCTACCTTGGCTTGCGGATCACCCGGGACAGAGCACGGCGCACCATTACCTTGACTCAGTCACACATGGTGCAGCAGGTCCTTCAGCGCTTCGGCTTCACGTACTCCTCGCCTCAGTCCACTCCTCTGCCTACCGGTCACTCGCTCTCGGCTCTGCCTTCGGATGAGTCCGTAGAGCCGAGTGGCCCGTATCCAGAGCTTGTGGGCTGCCTCATGTACCTGATGACCTGCACTCGTCCTGACCTTGCATACCCTCTTAGCATCCTTGCACGCTATGTCGCTCCTGGCCGTCACCGGAAGGAGCACATGGATGCCGCTAAGAGGGTGTTGCGCTACTTGTGCAGTACGTCGGGCATGGGGCTAGTGCTTGGAGGGCGAGACCGAGTTGTTCTCACTGGACACTCAGACGCTTCTTGGGCGGACGACCAGGCCACTCAGCGGTCGTCTCAGGGTTATACCTTCAGCCTTGGCTCCGGTTCAGTTTCTTGGCGTTCTACACGTTCTTCTTCAGTTCTCAGCTCCAGTTGTGAGGCTGAGATCTACGCCACAGCCATGGCGGCCCAGGAGCTACGCTGGCTCACCTACCTGCTGACCGACTTGGGAGAGCGGCCTCGTTCTCCTCCAGTGCTGTACGTCGACAACAAGGCTGCCATTGCCTTGTGTGAGGAGCACAGACTGGAGCACAGGACGAAGCACATCGCTCTGCGGTACTTTCTGGCTCGTGAGCTGCAGCAGCGTGGTCAGCTTTGTCTGCGTTACGTGGCCACTCAGGCCAACACTGCTGACGTGTTCACCAAGGCGCTTCAGCCTTGTGACCATCAGCGCTTCTGTACTCTTCTAGGCCTTGTGCCTACTGGACCTCACTTGCTTACTTCTTGACTTTGTTTGTACTGTGATCTCTATATATATACCTGCATGCTTTCTCTTGCTAGGTTGTGATCACTGTACCTCTTGCTCTACTATCAAACTGCATGTGAACTGGTCTTGTGACCACTTGCTTGTGCTCGGAATTTGTGTGGTATCCCTTGAGATCCACCCTGAGCTTGCTTGTGCTTTGCTTTGCTCTGACTGGTCTTGTGACCCCTTGTTCTCCCCCACTTTGCCTATGGGGGTGTGTCAAACATTATATCTGTTGTTGTTGTTTAGGCTACAGTGGGTTAGCCTTTAGGGGGTACACAAATTCTAGGGTTGCATATTTGTACTCACATTCTTGCTAGTCATTCTCATTCCTGCCAGTTAGTTTTAACAGTGTGAGTGTGACCGTAGCTTCTCTGCATTCATGGGGCAAAGCTGCAAGAGTTTCACTAGCAAGGTTGAGAATACAGAATTCAAAATGAACAAGCAATGGCAAGAACGACTACATCAGGAACCTAGCAACTCTGCAGCCAGGCTGGTCGACCGCCAGCACAGGCTGGTCGACCGCCAGAACAGCATGGTCGACCGCCTACCAGCGTTGTGTAGAGGAGCCGCACCAGCGCTGCAGAAAGGCGGCCTGCCAACACAGCAGGTCGACGGCGTGCGAACGCTACAGCAGATCGGCTGTCCAGCGTTACACCCGTAGAGGACAGCAGTGCGCACGCTCGCAGGTGCGCGCAGACGATTGGCCCGACTTGCACCATCACGGACTTGTTGGCTGTTGTCTGCACCTGACGAGCCACATTGACTTGGGGATATCGGCCCGAAGTCACCTTTGTCATTGCGGCCTCGACGACGTTGGCGTGCCTCCGCCGAACTCGCCGAGCAGGTTACC